AAAAACAAAAATATAATAAAAAAAAATCAAAAATTAAGGTTGGTATTAATATTTAAAAATTAAATTGCTATCTTCATTGTTGCTAACTTCGGGTTTAATGTTTTTTATTCTAACTTTTTTGTTTTTTGAGATAAGTGCGTCATCTTTGGACTCATTTTGAAGGTTTTTTGATGAAGATGACAAATATGTCAAAATTGACTTTGACGTTTCAAACCGGAAGTGATTGTATCTCCATTAATATCACAGTTAAATATGTCGAGTTTGGACTCATTTTAAAGGTTGTTTTATGAACATTACGAATATAATAATAAAATTAAAGTTGATATTGACAACTGAAAGTTTTTTTCACGACTAAACCCGAATGTTTCTAGTTCTCGTTCTAGTTTTAGTACAATAAAAATATACAACATAGTGATATCTTATGCTAACCAGCGCTACCTACCGCTGTCGTTTGTAAAATGGATAAAAAGATGGCCAAAGGCCGAAACTAGTTAGACTTAAATTCAATATAAAATAAAAGACAAACTTTTAATTTTATACTAACATCTAGAAAACGACACTGGCCCAAAATTGTAGGTTCATTTATTTTTTCTATAGTAGAATTTCTTGGTGCATCTAAGTGTCTATCTAAATCGTATAACACGATTACCGTTTAGCTTTATCATTTAAAACAAATAGTATTTTAGGTCTTTCGGTATTCTGCATTTTTTCTAAGATAAGTTACACCTTTACCTACCAGACAGCATGAAAATCTCTAAAAACGATAAAATGTCGCTTAGTCAAGTGATGTATAACGCGGTCCAATTGTCAGTGAGGAAATAATTAAGTTAAACGTGCGTTTAATGCAGTTCGATGGGTTAGAGTACACCAACATATGTCCCCCACATTAATTATGTTACAACATGTTCAAAATCCAACATCCAACGAGGACGGGGGCACAGAATGGGTCTCGGTAATACGTTATCCAAATTGCCGTACTTAATGCGATCGCATCCCGCATAAAACACGTCGTGTTTATCCCCTCGTACACACGAGCGGGGATTACATGCACAACGCGAACGGGATAAAACGATACTTATTGTTAGTAATGAAATTGGAATAGTAATTTTAGAAATTTCAAAACGTAATAATTTATTTTCGTTTTCATGTTTGAATAGGAACATGAGAAAATGTAAAAGCCGGTTTTGAGCCGGCGCCTCCACCATTTCCACAACGAAAAGTAAATACGAAGTCAAAGTAATAATAGGCCCTTTAAAAGCGATTCCGGGGCGGGAACGGGATGGAGGAGGTATATATCGTGAATTCTCGCAAAGTGGGTGCTTGGAAAAGTCGAACCGGAGGTAATATTTTGTTCGCCGTGGGCGTGATACAAAACGTCGAAACAAGATAAATTTCTGGATAAGTGAGACTAATTGACAGAAATCAAAATGGATGAATTGATGGCTGTGTTTGTATTGCCTCAACGGTAAAATTATTTACTCATTCGACTTCTAACATTAACACATCAAAGATGAACTTAAAACGACACACTTTTATAATTTTTTTATTCCCTCACATCTTATTATCAATTCCAAGCAAGATAAATCTAACCCACCAAAACGTTTATTTATGGAAATCGTCTTTTAATCGATACGATCGTTTATATACTATCAGAAATTATAAAGAAACAAGAAATAGAAATTTAACGAGGATTGTTAGAGTTATTGCTGATAATGTAAGTATTAATACAATAAAAAAAATTGAATGGCGCGAAACACAAGCAGCATAACGAGTGTTGCGTCCATATTCCACCAAACCCACTGCCTGAGCAACTTCTTCAAGACTTAAAGACATTTTACTTGTGTAGCAAAAGTCAACGACGTTAACGACACTGAAATGATTAGTATCTTTTGTGGGTGTTGGACACTCAGATAATTCTTCTTTCATTTAATATAACTTTATTTATTTCAGGTTTGTCATCAGCAACCTCATAGCAATAATCCCAAAACGATATATGAATTAAATCTCTCGTTGCAGTTTTCTTCTCTTTGCTTGTAATTCATCATCACATTCTTTGCAAGTCTTTTTTTCAATAAAAACCATCTTCTTGCTTCGTTTGCTAAATCTGCATCAAAAAAGTTCATTTTGTATCTTAGATCCAAATAAGTTGACATATTTTATTAGCTTTCTTATTAATTTGATTTTTGTTCAAATATCGTAATAATGTGACAATGTAGGATACCACTTCAGAAATGTACGAGAAATTATAACCATAATGGCTGGATAGAGATGCTGGATAACCTGATATCCGGCTTTTCACAAAATCATTAGAGGTGCACTCTGACACTTGAACTATTATATTGAATAAGCTTCAATTAACAGAGATGATAAGCTTGAAACGTAAGATCTTGATGTTGACGTCACCTCTTTTTGAGCAATAACTTCTTGCAAATTGGCTAGAACAAATTGATCATCAGCATCAAGACGATTCATTTGATGTCTTGGATTTTTGATTCTCCTTCAAAATATCTTAGCGATCATAATCTTAAGATAGCTAGCAAACGGTAACTCACAGTCATGGTCTTTTCAGTGTAATGGATATCTTTTTGTATCCAAAGCGTTTCACGACATGGTAGAATCTAAGAGAACTGCTACATTCCGAGAGGGAGAAGAAGTTCTAAGTTAGTTCTAGTTTTAGTTATTCCACAAATATCTGAGCCATAACTGCAAAGGATGTTATACTCTTATAAAAATCGGTGTTATTTCACAAAACTTTAAATAAATTTACTTTTTCTTTTCATGTTTTTTAGCTGCATAATAAGAATCACGACAAAATGCATCCATTCAGTCACCACTGAGCCATTCTATTTTTCAGATGCCGCCGTACATAACGTCTAGAAACGGTTCCCAAGAACTGGCCGGGTATCTTGGAGATGTATGGACCGTCATTGCGACAGCACTGCAGTTTAAGTGGGTACTCTCTTTCCCCCCTTTTATACATTCGAATATCGTATACCTTTTCTCCCCATAAAATAAAAAAGAAATCGTTTCTCTTTCAAACATTTATTTTCGTTCACTTTATTTGTTTTTTTTTATAGAACAAAAGTGACTACCTACGACTACGACACCGGGGTGGAAAAAATGATCAATAAAGATGCTGACGTAATGTTAGCGGCTGCCGTTGAGAAACCAAATCAACCAAACATTGTTTATTCGCAACCATATTTTTATAATTGGTACCATCTTTATACGAAGATGCCCGAAGCTACGGCTTCTTCGCACTCGTATCTTAAAGTGTTTAGTAAAGAACTTTGGTTTGCAACATTCTCTTTAATTATATTAATGACATCATCATTATGGATAAGTTTAAAATGGTCGAAAGATAAAAGAGAAGCTGGGTTATCAATTTTAACATGTCTTATAATAGTTTGCGGTGGATTTCTAAATCAAGGTAAAGTGTCAATAATACAAAAGGTGTTTCGTGTCAACGTTGTTGTTTTAGGTTTCGATTTGAAACCGAGAATCTGTTCGGCGAGGATTCAAGTGATCCTATCGCTTGTCATAGGATACCTATTGTATTCGGCAATGAACGCCGTTTTAGTTGCACGACTGGCAAACCTGGAAGTACGACTTCCGTTCGTTGACTTACACGACATAGCAGATAAGAGAACCCATTCTTTATGCCTCAGAACCAACAGCTTTGTTTATAATAACTTCACGGTGAGATTTAGTATTCATTTTTATTTAAATAAATCAAAATTAATTTTTTAGTTTACAAATAAAACGATTTTAAACCAATGGGAAGGGGTTTTAAACGGCCCTGGATGTTTAGATATCGTAAACCAAACGAATTTAGCCGAAATTTTATGCAACGACGATTTAATTTTCTTGGAGAACAGAGTTGTTATGTCTACGGTGATTAAAAATAATGATTTACCTTGTGAAATCGCCGTTCATCCTCAAGTTTATTTCAAAAGTGCTAATTCGTTTATCTTGCTGAAGAAATTTTATTATAAAAAAACTATAAATACTTTGTAAGTATTTTGTTAAGAAAACTTTTATGTTTTATTTTAATTTTTTTAGAATAAAACATTTAAGATCAACCGGGATTTTAAGCAGACTTGAATCGAAATGGATCAAAAAATACCATCAACCAACGATGAGGGATTATATTATACCTCAAGTTACTTTAAATCATATCTCGGCAATTTTAAAATTATTTCTTGCGGTTATTTTAATTACTTTAATCATTTTAATTTTAGAATTGCTTTATTATAAATACTTCATTATATATCCATATACTAATTAAATGTGTTAACACCGTTTTTAGATGTAATTTCGGTTTTAGCTAAGTAACTAATGGACCAATTTAGTTTGGCAGGTTAGAAAGGAAAACTTGCGACCCCGCTGGGTTTCAACTGAGAAGTGAGCTTCTAAACTCATCCCTCCGCGCGCTAATTATCGATCGGAATAGTTAAACAGGGCCATAAGCTACGGGTAATAACTTGCCCCCGCCGACGAGGAACGTATGGATATTACTTGTTAAACAAGGAGCAAGAAACTTACCTGAGAACAGTTCCAGGAACTTCTCGACGCCGTAGTTGCCCGGAAATCGGTATCTGTCGACCTTATTATCGTCCGTGAGAGCATCCGTCGTGTGTACTTTGATTCGTTTCACCATAAATGAAATGTTATCCGGTTTTCCATCTTGATTAAAATCTAAAAAAATAATATTGAAGACACTTATAAATAAATAATACACCAAAAGAACAGGGGTTGTAAAATATATTCGTAAAATGAGATTTATTTTTAATGATTGATTGTAATTTACGAGGAAATTGCCATTTCAAATATTAAATTAACCAATAATAATTACAAGCATTTCAACTTTATACGAAACTAAATAATTAAAACCAAAACCGATTCGATACTGTCAATAATTTCATAATTTTCACTACGTTTAATAATAGATTAAAACGAAATTATTATTTTAATATTTACCTGTCGCTTTATAAATTGCGTTAACCCTCTGAACATGTCTCGTCATAACCTCAATACAAGCTTCTTTAGTACCGTATTTTTGGAAAAATTTATGATCCGCTTGAAGATAAAGCATACAGGTTGTTTTTTTCGGATCAATTGATGCTCTCTTATTCACATTTCTGCTGCCAAATATTAATCCTGAAGCGTCAGTAAAAGTCCTATTGATCTCATCAATCGGTTGATCGAAAGGATATCGTTTGTTATTGTTCGGATTCCAATAACGAGTTGTCTCGTCGAAAGGTTGTTTTGCTTCGCCCTCGAGAAGCCACCGTTTTAACCTAGCCCTAGGACAATTTCTATACCGCTTCTCCTTTGCCATTCTGTTTAGGTGTAGAGTGTGAGAGGCGCACGGTTTCCCACGGGATGGATTTAAAACGTCCCGTTCCCTGTACACTATCGAGTGGAAATTGGAAATGTTATTTACGTATCTGCTTACGGGTTCTACATAGTATTCTTCTGTATTTGTTTTGATTGAACCATCGAAGAGACCTTCTTTTGTAACGATTCCGTGTACCAAAGCTGTGTGATCATCTGTAATAAATAAAAAATAAATTTTAATAAGTACCTATACAATGTGAATTTTGTACAACGTCGGGGTTGACCTAGATTTTTTATTTCCAGTCTCAGAGTGAAGAGTGAAAAGCTCGCGACGTAAAAGCGAAGGAGAAAAAACATCAAGCCTTTACAGTCACCCTACTTTCATCGCGTTTTCACAAAAGGGACCAGGTTTTTTGGCTAAAAGAGTGGAAACTGATATGCATGCGATGTCTCAACCATTTACTACCAAGTGTCTTGTGAAATGTACCTTTTTTGCTAAAATTTAAAAATAAATGCTTAATCTTTTACATAATCATAACGATTAATTAAATTTAAGTTTGATTTGTGTGGTTAAAAGTTAAGAGATGAAGAGAAGAAGTTTTTGGGAAACTTGGACAGTTGGAGTACGGTTAACTTTCATCGGTATATCTCTCTTCGTTCAACTTCCGGTCGGTTCCCGGTTATTTGCAACCGAGTTTTCCTTCGACAGGAGGTCGTCGCTAATCGAAAAAGTTGATGGCGCTTGGGGGTGAATACAAAAATTCTCAGGGTCGGAAAAAAGTTTACGGGGTGGGGAAAATTCTAAGGGTTGGCGTTTTCCGGTGGAACAATACGGCGTCGTTAGAAGACCGCCTCCGGATAGACCTGGAAGTTACGGGAGTGTCAACAGGAGACCACTAACTTAGCGCCCCAGCAAACAATATGTCTTTCAAGAAAAACTTTTCTTACAAAAATAACTTTCGGTAAATATAATAAACGTTTATACATTTTTTTTAAGTTCCATTTTATTAAACCAATTCATACATTTCTTTAACCCCCAAAAGAATCGTTTGAGTTAAATAAAAAATTCTATTGCACCTTGGAGAAACGTTTTCGAAAAACAAATTTTCTCTTGAAAAATGTTCTCCTGAGAAAAATAGATTCGTCAACTAATAAATAAATTGGCCCTTTTTCCGGATATGGTAGCATCGTCAGCAGTAGAAAAGGGACTTGGTCACGTCCCGGACGTGATAAACCCGAGACGACGGCGGTAGTTTGTCTTCCGGGATTTGTGTACACGATTCTCTCGGATCAATATTTCTCTATGTTTTCTTCGATTTCGAATTAATTGTGAAATTGCAACCGCATTGTATTATCTACGGTTATTTCCCAACGGCGCACACCGTAAACAAACTCGCTGCCGGCCACTGAATAGCGTTTTAATAATGAAAATGTAACAGCTGCCGTCCAGATACAGTACTTTATTGAAAGCGTATCCGTGTGGAAAGCGGATAACAGGATCGAACTAGCTATATAGGCTTGTCAATACCGCGTTTTCCTGGAACCGATTTGTTTGATGAACATCGGCGTTTTCAAAATCCGTACGTGTATGTTAACAACGTTATGGATATGGTATTACAGTAATTAATTAATTTAGAGGAATTTCCTCAAAATAAGGTAATGCATTTTCTGGAAATTAAATTATTTAATCAATACATACAAAGTAAAAAGACGTTGAAGATCATCACACGAGTCTGATATTATCATCAAACGAATTTGTCGTAATTTAGATTAGATGATTAAAACTTAATGTACTATTTAGCGTTTATTGTTTTATTTGTATGAGTGTTTGTATAAATAACCATTGTTATTGCTTTGTTTATTTTTTGAGGTCTTTGTACTGTTTCTATATTTTATAAATACCTCTAAATACTCACACTTTGGGTAAATGCCCCCAGGTATATATACAGGGAATTTTCCCTTGAAAATAAATACCTGGGTATTTAACAACATTGTGTACATTTTCATTTAAAAACACGTAAGATGCACTGAAGCGTACCGTCTTCCTAATTTCCAGAACGCCTAATGTTGTATGTATGTAGTTTCACGTGGGGGTGAGTTACTCACAGCACTTAGGCCCCAGCGGACCCTTTGTACGTCCCCACGGTTTACTGTTCATTCAAGGGTCAGAAAACCAGCCCAATCTTTTCATGAACGTTAATATAGAACAGAAAGGTATGTTCCTTATATCCGAAATTTGGAGCCATGGTACTCCGAAAATAGATTCCCTTAAGTACACGAGGTTTGGACAGTCACAAACAGTATGACTTACCGCCTCGTCTTCCATTTCACACCCTCTACAGAGGGGTGTATTCGCCAGCTTCATGTAAAACATGTGCTTACGTAACCTGCAGTGTCCGGTCAGGAAGTGGGTGAGAAGCCTCAAGTCACTTTTCGATTTTCCCAGAAACTGAGTAGATGTCTTCCGGTCAGGGTAGAGCAGAGTTTTCTTAGCAAAGGGACCTACTGCCGTCCCATCTCATCTATCGCAAAAAGCTCGGTGGGAGATGGAGTTTATCAGTTTTGATGCTGTATTAACAGCTAGTGGTACAAACGGTTCAGGGGAGATCGGTGACTTGTTAGCCGCCCGTTTCATCATGTCCTTTAATTCCGATGTGTCCTTTTCGCCATTTTATCGTGACGTTGTTGTATACGTTTGCCTCTTCGAGTGATTGCCGATAGGACTTCACCAACGATGATGCAGTATGATGCCTGCCAACCGCCAGCATAGCCTGTCTGCTATCAGTACAGATTACAACGTTTCTGCCGACTTTTTTGGAATCGATAATCGCATCGGCTGCTATATTTATAGCAATTAATTCGGCTTGAGCAGTCGTGCAATACGATCCTAACGAAGTGGAAAGGTGCAGCTGGATATCGTGCGAGAAGATTCCCGCTCCGGAACCTCCAGCCTTCTTTGATCCATCAGTGTAGATGGTCAGCGTTTTGCCTGAGCTTGAGTTGCTCTGGGGTATCGTTTCAATGCCAAAGTGTGGCTTGCCTAAGAAAGTAGGTGTAATGTAGTCTGTGCGAGCTTTAAGGAGGGGTTGTTTACTAACAGCCTCACTCCAGAGCTTGCTCCGGACTATTCCCATTTTAACAACCTGCTTTTCATTTACTGATCGCAACCGAAGCAATGCCATCACGGCCACCTCCCTGATAAAAATATCGTTTAACATAGTCTCCATTGCAATCGTAGGTGTAGATCTCATAGCGCCTGTGATTAGCAGGCAGGCCAGTCGTTGCAATTGATGCAGCAATGTAGCTTTATATGCATGTTTTAGTGCTGAGCACCAGACTATGGCTCCGTGAGCTACCATGGGTCTTATCGCAGAAGTGTAGATCCACATTGTAACTTTCGGATTTAATCCCCAAGTATTCCCAATAGCCCTTCGGCACTGGGTCAGTACAATCGTTGCTTTTTTGATTTTGCAACTAATGTGTGATGTCCAAGTTAGTCCTTTGTCCAAGATAACCCTAATGTTATAAAATAGTAAGTATTTCTGCTTTTAAGGAACTCTCGGTTTGCATTACTTATTAAGGTTTTTAGACCATTTCCAAGAATTTCTGGATTGGTTACCAAAAAGTTTCCAGAGAGTTTCTGAAGGCGTGATGGATTTACAAGTATGTTGAAGGATTTTGGTGATATTCGGTTGGTTTCTGAAACTTGTTGGAACTGGATTTGGATGATTTTCAGGGATTTCCAAGGATTGTCCTAAAGGTTTCTGAAATTAGAAAGTTCGGTTTAGAATTGTTCAATTACATTCAAAGATTTTAAAGAATTTCTAGGATTTTTCGATTTTTTAGGCATTTTCAAGAACCAACAGTTTGGTTTCCAAGCAATAACTGAGAGGTATAGACTATAGATGATTTTTAAGAATTTCCAAAGACCTTTGAGATTTATTTGAGTTGCAAAATGTTTGCAGAACGATTTCTAGATTACGCCTCGCAAGCAAGCTACTTCGGCTATTACGTGTGTTGATCATTGAAGATAAGACATGGAAACTTAGCTACCCAAGTAATTATTGCATATTAATTTAAGCCAAGGTCGCTTGCGGGCGAGGCGCTACAATTAAGAATGTTGAGATAAATCTCGACTAAACATTAAAAAATATATATAAAGATTGAACTCCGAGGTCGCAAGCTATTTCGATTAAAAAAGAAATTCATAGAAATTAGTATCTTTACATTATTATTATCTCACTTTTACACCTATCTTTTTTTTTACACAATACATGAAAATGATATTTTCGTATCAATTTTAACTAAAAGAGTTGTGTTTCTTAAAGAAATTTAATTAAAAATAAAACAAAACCTTGTAAATTTTTTTAGATAAAACGACCCCTCGCGCATGCTGTTATTTAAAGTATCATTTTGTTCGCGTTGACCAAGATAAGAAATATTTATGACTATACAGCATGACAAACAAAAGTAATAAAATCGTTTATGTTATAAAAAATTTTGCTGGAGTGCAAAAATTCTCGGGGAAAGGTGATTAACTTTTGGCGGTTTTATTTCTGGCAAACGAGAATTTTAAAAAAGAATAACATCTTTGAATTATTACACATTGTAAGTAAATAACTACTTTAAATTATTTCAAAAGACATCATTAGTTATGTTTAAAGATTAAAACAAAGTGTTTTTAAATGAAATTGTTATACATTGTAACTTACTTAAAATTACTTTTAAACACTTCATAATTTATTTTTTAAGACAGCTAACATTAATATAACACAAAATACTTTAAAAATCGATTAATCTTGTGTTTTGCGAAATTATGTAACACTAAGTGTGACCTCGTAAGCCATCTCAACAAGCTTCAATTAAGTAACAAAGGCTACGTATTCTGGAATGTTGGGGTGGTGGTGGCAAACTCAGCGTCCATATAAATATGAACATTTCGCGTCCAATATTATTACAACCAAAGTCATGATGGCGAAATTAACCTTATTGATTTTATCGCTGCTTCTAATTCTATCATTAACAATTTCGAAAAAACATAATCATCGAAATAACATCGCAAATATTATTAACTCAAAAACTAATTTAGAATTAGTACACGTGGTAAGTATTTATTTATTAATTAATTTTCTTTTATTAATTAATTTTTTGAAGGTGTTCCGACATGGTGATAGAACCCCAGAAAGAAGATACCCCAATGATATTTACACCGAAGCTGATTTTTATCCAACCGGATTTTCGCAGTTAACTAACTCCGGGAAATTACGAACGTATCAAATTGGAACTAAATTAAGAACGACTTTCAATAATTTTTTGGGGGATATCTTTTACCCAGAAATAGTTGATTCAATATCATCGCATTCCCCGAGATGTAAAACGTCACTTTTAGGAGTTTTAGCCGGATTGTTTCCGCCGAAAAATTCCGAAATATGGAATTCCGATTTAAACTGGCAACCGATTTCATTCAACGCTTACACTTCAAGCGAAAATAGGGTGTTTGCCCCATTTGGAAGTTGCCCGAATTACACCAAATTAGTGGCCGAAGCTATGGAAGGAATGTATCAAGATACTAATTTCACACAATTCCAAGATAAATTCGATTACATCTTAACCAACGCTGGAATGACGGGAAATATAGGTTACGCAGTCGATGTTTTATATTCAACTTTAAAATCGCAACAGGAATTCGGGTTACCACTTCCAAATTGGACGAATTCGGTTTGGCCCGAGCCAATAAGTTCGATGCAATCCCATGGATTTAAATATTTAGCTTTGAACGATAATTTAAAATCGATTGCAGCTGGGTATTTAACGAAAAAAATTGTTGATAATACTCATTTAACAATTAATAATCAAGCTCCTGTTGGAAGAAAAATCTATTTATATTCGGGTCATGATGCGAATATAGTTAGCTTACTCATGATGATGGATAATTTTGAGCCACATTGCCCACCTTATGGTGCTTACATCACTTTTGAGGTCCATAACATCGATGGGGAGAGATACTTTAAGGTAAAAATTAAATCTTTTTTTTTAATTTTTATTAAAAACCTTAATTTTAGATAACCTACGAAAATTATTCTTCAACAACCCCTCAAACACTAACTTTATCTTGCGGATCTTATTGCACCGTAACCGACTTTGTAAATCTTTACTCCAAATATTTAAATACAACAGCTACTGATGCGTTATGTGGAAGTTGGTAACTTTAAATAAAACGATTGCAAACCCAAAACTTTTATTTTATTGCACCCCGGCGATTTTAGGTTTACCCCCGCGTGTATGCAGTTTCACTAACTTTGGCTTGTAGCCAGTGGCCGAACCAACTTTACCGCAGGGTCGACGTTGAACAGAAAAACCTACAAAAAAAAATTGTATTATTTTTATTATTTTTTGTTCTACACCCAACTTTGCTAAATACTAAGTTGAATTGATGTAATTAATGAAACATAGTTATGGCGCAGATGTGAACCCCTAAAACCGCGGATAAATTCGGTATTCGCTTGGGGCGATGGCAATTTGTTACGATTAATTGGAGGTCGCCACCAGATGTTTCCACCCCAAACTTTGAAATAATTTAAACGAACTTTTCCCGTAATTGTATTATACCTTACAAATTGAAATATTAACCGGAACCGAAGTTACAACGTTAACAAAACGTTGCAGGAAGTATGCGCCAAGGGGAAAAGGTCTAAATGTAAACTCCGTTTTAATTTCTCGGTTCATAATCCTCGGTTATTACGCGGGTAATAAAACGGTGTGAACGACTTCCCCAACGTTACGAAGAAGAAGATGAGGAAAAGGAGAATGCGAGGGGGGTAGAAAACATACCCGCCCTGGAGATAATACTTTTTATGAGGAAGAACACGGCCTCTCTCTGTCTACTGGGGGGATCTGTCAAGATTAAACGTTCCAGTTACTTGGCGTCGTTCCGTATTTATTCGAGCGAACTCTGCCAGATATTGAAGGCTTATTTTTCCGGGGAAATGCTTCCGAGTTTTATTGGTCTCGAAATCGAATCTGGTTGTTTGTCCTCCCGAGAATTGAAATGTTACAGAGGACAAAAAATTATTCCTTTTTTTATCATGAATTATTAGATTATTATTATTAAAATTTTTTTGACATTTCCAACTTCACTCCAATTTTTTAAATGTCATTTCGACTTAATTTCAAAGTTTCAACTTCACACCTATCTGTTAAACGTCATTTTGATCTTTGAATAAACTCACATTAATCTTAGAAACACCTCCAACCCCATTTTGAAATCGTATTCTTTAACATTATCAAACCTTTGTTAACTGTTAAATGTAAATTTTGACAATTAAACTATTTTAATAATTCCAACTTCACTTAAAAAAAAATCAGTTAACATTTCCAACTTCACTCCAATATTTAAAATGTCATTTCGACTAAATTTGAAAGTTTCAACTTCACACCTATCTCTTAAACGTCATTTTGATGTTTGAATAAACGTTTATAACCTCACATTAATCTTAGAAACACCTCCAACCCCAATTTTAAACATTTTAAATGTCAATTTTGATCTCACTAACCTCATTGGATAGTTAAATATTAAATTAAAATAAATAAAATGTATTCGTAAAGTTATGAAGTGTTAAATAAGTTCGAGTTGGTGTTGATGAGATTAACTAATTAAAATTGCTTTAAGAAAATGAGTACTTGAAAAGTTTTTAAATTTCCTTACAGACAGAAACAAAGTTGAACGCTCTCGTCAAGTTTTTTAAAAAGCATATTTCCGCACTGTCGGGCACCCAAAGCTTTCATGTCTCGGGTTCTTAGTCAAAAATAAAAAGCTTGCTCAATAATCACCTGTTACATTTCGGAGGGAAGCGAATCCTTCGAAGCTTTGCTACAGCGGCAATTCAATTACGTGCCGGTTTTACAGTTGTACTCGCATTTTACTGGGTACGTATTAGTTCCGGTCGTCACAAGAGACGTAACGATCTTGATACAATTTTAGAGGGTTTATTATCGTGCCAAAAGAGTTTATTGTCTTTCTTTAGTACCGTGTAGTTTGTAATTTTGTTAAAAGCAACGGAACCAGAAAAAAGTGTAATGGATCAATTTGAAAACGAACATTTTTCGCGGTACAATGATAAATGTTTGGTCGTTAATTCAATGTCAGTCAAATTGAAAATTTACGGTTCGTGTCCGTTTGTTCCTAAAAAAATATTTAAATATCGACCGGCAGTGGTGCGGTAATCGAATACATTGGTCAAAATCAGAGGGCGGGAAACTGGAAAACAATAACTTTGTTAACCTCGCGCTTGTTTCGATAGAGAGTTATTGAATTTTGGAGCCAGACAATGAATCATACGGATGACACGCCAAAGGTCAACAAATTTGAATTTACGACTTTTGTCTGTTTTAAAAACCTTTACCGTAGAATAAAGGATGAAAACCCTTCAAAGTAGTGGAATTTCTATTCAGAGGCGATGTCTTTCCAGGTCCGGCCTTATCTCAAAAAGGACGAGAAAAGGACAATCGTGGACCACCCAGCAAATTGATTACATCGTTCTCCCACGGGCCACAAAGACTCCAATTTCCAAGGACAATTTTATCAGCATCGTACCCGTATGACCGGAAAATGGCTCTACAGGGATAAGGAACAATGTAGGTTTCATTGTTGAAGCGTTTCTTCTCAAAATTTAATAACTTCGTAATTAACCATAATAATTTTAATACATTACATAAATGTAGCAAGCTGCGTTGAAATCCATGAACATGCACCAGCTGCAACAAAAACCGCAACCAGCTTGTAGTAATATGAAACTTCCTTCTGTTTCTGAAGGAGAAGTAGCTTCGGGGACGTCCGGATTATTCCCGGAAAGCAAGAACACGCGGTCCACCACCCCAGACTTTAATTAAAACCTTATCGCCGGTATGCTACTCCCACAACAGGCACCAAAATGCAAACGACAGAACCCGTCAGAATCCTTACAGTTCCGATCGTTGAAGTTAGAAAGAGATGGATAAAAGGAAAAGGCTCGAAACCGGACAATATTCCACGAATACAAATGCAGAAACTCGAAACTTATCAGTATGCCGTTAACAAAGTTGCGGATACTGTTTTATAAAGCCCTCGAAGAAACATTAAAATTCTAAAGTTGTTCGATTCAGAGTTAGCCGAACCAAGAATCTCAACCTTGAGATCTAGAAAATCTAAAAAAAATTAAAAAAAAAACCTTACCTTCCAACGTTCCAGTATAAACGGAATTTGGTTCAAAGTCGATTGGTCCATTTGTGGATTCAATAACAACATCCTCAGTAAAAATGCTTCTATCCGGAGTTAGTTTCAACTTGAATATTCTGAAAATAAGCGCAGGAGAATAAAAAAAAAATATATAACTAAAATAATTTGACTTATAACTACTAGGTATAATTACCAAGCTAAAAATAGTACAATTTTTTTTTTGTAATTGAAATATTTGTTGTTGAATTCGCAACGTTCGCGTTGGGAACGTAAACAATGGGGGAATAACACACTCTACTAGGTAATTAATTCCAATTAAATCGTCCCGACCCGTATTAAATTCCCGTTGCTTGTATTCTCTACTCACATCGGAACTAATTATTAATGTTTAAAAAAAATTAGGCTTAAAACTAAATACATTTTTAAAAGATATGGTTCTTAAAGCTTAATTAATTAATGAAAAATCGAAAATTTCTTTTTTTCATCCTCAATACAAACTTCATTTGCACGCACAGTGAGAGGTCAACGGTAATTGAAAAGCTCGTCGTATCGATTGCTTTCGGACGTTCGTCACGTCGATAGATGTCACTAACAGCCAATGCAGAAGCCGTACTCTACGTGCAAAATTTCCCCGAATTCCGTTGAGTTATTTTCGCGTCGAGAAAGATGCTGAGAACGGAAGTAAGGAGGAGGAGGACGTCGGAAATCAATGGAAAACATGCTACGAAGGCCGTAAATTCCGCAGCAGACGCGTCCCGTATCTAATGCGGAATACACAGACGACGGCGGCGGGCGTCGCGACGCTCTCCGTCTCGCCGCTTTCCGGACGTTCACTCCAAAGAGACGCCAAGTACCTTCTTAACGAAAATGTACTATTAAACAAATCTCAAATGGTATTATTGTGGGCTTTCTCTTTGTTTGGAGATCTAAAATTAAAAAAAAAAAAAATAATAGTGTTAAAATGGTTTTTGTCGTAGAGAATTAGCTTCGTCGAATGGGTCTCTTTTGTAGTGTTACGCTCTTTTACAAGAGTAATTTCGCTTGGCGTTCGGTGCTTTTGTGACCCCGAGGTAAAGGCAGCGACCCAACTGCTTTGTAAACTGTCTTTTTTGCGTCTTTTCCTTTTAAATATGCACGATCGGTAATCGGTCAACCTAAAACGAAACGGTTTTCTCCAACTAGGTTGCATGCGAATCACTTTAACATTTTATTCGCGTGTAAAATTTCGTTTTTAAAAGGAAAATGTTCAAAGAAATTAATAAAATTAATCGACTTACTGAATCTTTTAACAAATCGCCTCAATTTTTTATAATACCAAAAAATAAATTGACGTGACAAAAAAGTTAGGTTATGTAAACTTTCCTGGTTAATTTAAGGAGGAAGAATTTTTCGCCGAACCTACAATCACTTGAAATTAACACTTTACGTATTCAAAAATGTATTTTGATGAGATTTTCGATTCAATTACACTTTTTTTAGGTAAAATACACCAATTTTAGACAGAAAATGACACTTCGTGAAATTGAAATGTCAAAAGTACGATTTAATATGTGCGATTGACGTTAGATGGAGTGAGTTTCATAAACAACGATTTTTAAAAAATCAATATTATTCGCAATCAATATTTAATTAATTAATAATTAAATTTAAAATTAATAAATCCAAACCGACTCATTATATCTTTTAACAAATCGTCCCGATTCTTAAAAATAACCACAAATTTTAAATTGACGTGATAGAAAAAGTTAGGTTATGTAAACTTTCCTGGTTAATTTAGGGAGGAAGAATCTTTCGCCGAACTTACAATCACTTTAAATTAACACTTTACGTATTCAAAAACGTATTTTGATGAGATTTTCGATTCAATTACACTTTTTTTAGGTAAAATACACCAATTTTAGACAGAAAATGACACTTCGTGAAATTGAAATGTCAAAAATACGACTTAATATGTGCGATTGACGTTAGATGGAGTGAGTTTAATAAACAACGATTTTATAAAAATCAATATTATTCGCAACAAAAATTTAATTAATGAATGATTGAATTTAAAATTAATAAAACCAAACCGACTTACTATATCTTCTAACAAATCGTCCTGATTCTTAAAAATAACCATAAATTTTAAATTGACGTGATAGCAAAAGTTAGGTTATGTAAACTTTCCTGGTTAATTTAGGGAGGAAGAATCTTTCGCCGAACTGACAATCACTTTAAATTAACACTTTACGTATTCAAAAATGTATTTTGATGAGATTTTCGATTCAATTACACTTTTTTTTAGGTAAAATACAGCAATTTTAGACAGAAAATGACACTTCGTGAAATTGAAACGTCAAAACTACGACTTAATATGTGCGATTGACGTTAGATGGAGTGAGTTCAATAAACAACGATTTTTTAAAAATCAATATTATTCGCAACAAAAATTTAATTAATTAATGATTGAATTTAAAATTAATAAAACCAAACCGACTTACTATATCTTCTAACAAATCGTCCCGATTCTTAAAAATAACCATAAATTTTAAATTGAGGTGATAGAAAAAGTTAGGTTATGTAAACTTCCCTGGTTAATTTAGAGACGAAAAAATTTTCGCCGAACTTACAATCACTTTAAATTAACACTTTACGTATTCAAAAACGTATTTTGATGAGATTTTCGATTCAATAACACTTTTTTTTAGGTAAAATACAGCAATTTTAGACAGAAAATGACACTTCGTGAAATTGAAACGTCAAAACTACGACTTAATATGTGCGATTGAACGATTTTTTAAAAATCAACAAAAATTTAATTAATTAATGATTAAATTTAAAATTAATAAAATCAAACCGACTTACTATATCTTCTAACAAATCGTCCCGATTCTTAGAAATAATCATAAATTTTAAATTGACCTGATAGAAAAAGTTAGGTTATGTAAACTTTCCTGGTTAATTTAGGGGGGAAGAATCTTTCGCCGAACTTACAATCACTCTAAATTAACACTATTTTGATGGGATTTTCGAATTAATTACATTTTTTTTGGTAAAATTTAACAATTTTCGAAACAAAATAACATTTCGTAAGTTTGAAATGTCAAAAATATGACTTAATATCTGTTATTACCGCTAGATGGGGTAAAGATTTAAAATTATTTTTTTGAATTTACAAATTAATTTATTTACGTTTATATTGAAGAAGGGGAACGATTTTTTTTCGTTTGATTTTAATAGGGAGAGATTACAACAAGATTTGTTCAACACGGAAACAAGGACCCTCACCCTAACCCACATTCTCCCCAACTGAGTTCCAATTAGCGGAAGGGCTCGATTAGAAATCGAGGGGGGGTCCCGGGAAAGTTGCGATAGTTTAATTTCCCAAAGCGAGACCCCCAACGAGAGCTTTTCATTAAAAATTTCCAGACACGGACGGTTACTAAAAATACTCCAAGTTTTAATTCGCTTAACATAAAGCTAGACGACAACCTCTTTTTGCAACTCTATAAAATCCCCGATTTTCATGGTACTTTGGTTATCGTATAATGGGAAGTCATCCTCGTTGTTGATATGAGTCATTTACGACCGCAGGATGTCATCGATCGTGAAAGGATCGACCGGGGTTGCGTTGAAAACGAGGGTCGGACAGGTAGATAATACACAAAATGGTCGCCGGATTTGCATATCTGGGGACTAAACCGGGGGGAAATTGTGGGTGGTGGACAACGTGGAAGCGACGCATCGGTGGGGAAAGCAAATTTTCGGTCAACGATGACGGAAAATCGATCAACGAAACAACAACTCACCTATCACGTCCTTTAATGGTCAACCTAACGAAGGAATTTTTGCCAACGTTGCGTTTACTCCGATGATGTTCCGCGTGAAGATGCCCTGGATCGTACAAAGCTGGTTCATAATGACGTATCCAAGAGTTCAGGTCAACATCTGTAAATAAAAGAAAATAATAAATTTATCTAATTTAAAAATAGAGATCCGGATTTCATTGGGCTTAATTGACGTCAGTTCCGAATTTGTCCCCCACCTACTAGTTTCCCCGTGGATTAACATTCCGCACGCGTGGCCACTGAACACGTGTCCGTGATCGATCGTCAATAAAGGGGCCTAGATGGTTTGGGGGAAAGGGAATCTAGGGATAACAGCATTCATTCATGGCGCGATCGATATTCCTGAGGAAGAAGAAACGAAGAAACGTGTGGCGCTCAGGATGGGTTTTAAGGGGGAAACGTACGGGGGGATTTAATCGCTTCCCCCCAAACTCCCTTGAACGATGTGGGCTCCTGTAAACGGGAATCCCGCTTGAGTTATCGCTGCACCGGCAGCTTTTACTGGATTAGTTTGGCACCGGTATGGGAATTTCCAAAAATATATTCGTTTTAGAAGTAAATTTAGACCCGAATTCAATTTTATAATTATAATTTGTGAAAACCGGTTACTTAATCGGCAGGTTCCCCCCGCGTATCTGTTTCTAGGTAGAAGTTTGCGTCATAAAGATTTAGTCATCACATCTCTCACCTTGTAACCACTTTCAAAACGAACTAAGAGGACGTGTACTCAAAAAAAACATAGGTTAAGAGAGATATTTTCGCAAAATCAACAAGGAAAGAATGGGGGGAATTCTTTCACCAGTTTATAATGGCGCTTAATTACCATGAAGTGACCTTCAGGTCTTGTAGATTCTCTAAGAATTATGTAAGTACACCGTTTAAAAAAAAAATACAAGAAAACGACAACGTAATTGTTGATTGTAGTTGTGTTCTAAAATAAGGAGAGAAAGTTTAGTTTTTAATTAATGATTTGAGTAGGTGTAAATGTAAATTAACATAATGAGGTTTTTTTTAAAACGCAAAATAAAAAGAATTCAGGTTGTTGACATTTTGAGTTCTTCGTCGAAGGAAGAACGTTCTTCGTGGTGAGCGTAGGTGCAAAGAACCAAGCTAACTTCTTCGGAGTGCTGCGAACGAATGCCGTTGAAGAAACGAAAAAATACAAAAAAGAAAAAATAAAGTAAAAAGAAAAAAACTTTAAGTAAAGTGAAAAAGAATTTCTTTTTTCTTACTTTTGATACGGGTCGGATCCAAAGGTGTTGCTGCTAAATAAACTGCAAAACTGCTCATCACCACAAACACTATGCAGCCGCGAAACCCGAGCGACGATGGCATTTTCGCATTCACGGCCAATACTCGATGTCATCTCGTGTGCTTCTGAAAACGGTGATTTTAACGCGAAATCGCGCGCAACGCGAACCCCACGACCGCTTCGCGATGACTGACTAAAACCGCGAAAGCGCCACTCGCTAGAAGAGCGTTTTCCTCTTTGTTCGTTCTCACTTCATCTGAACCTATACAAAATAAACGGAAATTAACGAAGGTTCACGAACGAAACCAAACCGAATAGATGGGAAATTAAAATCATTTCTTACCATCTTAAGACAATTAATACAGTGAATTTCACTTAAGATGCAATATACAAAAATATATTTCCATAGAAATCAGGACGTATCTACTTACTTTATCTCACATAAAATGTAACATGTCAATATAATTTAATATTACAGTAAAACCTCGATATAACGGATCAATACGGGGAACGAATAACAAATAAAATTAGAACTAACACTAAACCTAGAAATATTTGTTTAGCTGTACCTCTCTTAAGACGGCTGATAGGTATATTTTTTTTGAACTAAAACTAGAACTAACACTAGACCTAGAACTAGAAAGTTTCGGGTTTAGCCGTTTTAAAAGACGTGCGGCTAAATCCGAATGTTTCTAGTTCTAGTGTTAGTTCTAGTTTTGCACTAACACTATCAGTAGAACTAACATAAGACCTAGAATTAGAATCATTCGGGTTTAGCCGTCTTAAGAGACGCGCGGCTAAACCTGAATGTTTCTAATTCTAGGTCTAATGTCAGTTGTAGTGACAGTTTTAGGTAGCGGTAGTTAGCATAAGATATCATTATGTTGCATATTTTTATTGCACTAAAACTAGAACTAAGACTAGACCTAGAACTAGAAAGTTTCGTTTCTTTCCCAACTTTCTAGTTGAAGGTCTAGTGTTAGTTCTAGTTTTATTTGTTATTCAATGCTAGATTCTGGTACATCTTTATTGAATTAAAAGTAGAACTAACACTAGACCTAGAACTAGAAACATTCGGATTTAGCCGCACGTCTTTTAAGACGGCTAAACCCAAATGATTCCAGTTCTAGTGTTAGTTCTACTTTTATTTCAATAAAAATAGACATAGTCATAAAAAAATATTTCTAAAAATAGAAATAGACATTTGGGTTTAGCCGTCTTAAGAGATGTACACGGTAGTCGTGCGTTTTTTAAGACGGCTGAAAAAACTCAGGATTATCATAAGGACCTCACCTTTTTCCAAGCAAAACTTGTCCTTTGCAAAATTACCCAATGCCTGTACTATTAAGCTATGTTGCATTTTATGTGGGACAGTACAAGTGCATAGTAGTTTCGTAACTATGATTACTGCATTCATATATTGCAAGTTATATGAAATTCCCGGTATATTAATATACAGGGTGATTCACATAAGCAGGGACATGTAGAGGACAATAAATTAAGATGATTAACGTAACTTACCTCTATATTTAGCTGTACTAAATTGTACAGGTGATGCAACCTTGAGCATTCCTTAAAAAAGATATGCATGGGTGATTTCAAAAAAACAGTCTCCAAAACGTTCATTACTTAAACATGCAGCTGTCCTGGGATTGTGAAGTATCACATGAGTTTAAATTGGAAGAAGATCTCACACCAAATGTGCACCAAACTGTCATATGTGGGCTGGAAAGTGAACGTTGATGAAGTTCCTGAGAGGTTGTTCTTTATTTCTTTCACTTAATTCTTGGGTTGCCATCATTTTGTGCATCATGTTTGTTTTGGGTTGGAAAGTGAACGTTGATGAAGTTCCTGAGAGGTTGTTCTTTATTTCTTTCACTTAATTCTTGGGTTGCCATCATTTTGTGCATCATGTTTGTTTTGGGTTGCACAAAATGATGGCAACCCAAGAATTAAGTGAAAAAAATAAAGAACAACCTCTCAGGAACTTCATCAACGTTCACTTTCCAGCCCACATATGACAGTTTGGTGCACATTTGGTGTAAGATCTTCCTCCAATTTAAACCATGTCGGTGAGGATCATGAAGAAGACGGCGTTTTCGACGCAAGTGTACAAAAATTGCTCTATAAACTTGCAAGCACTTAATGTGACAGTCACCACTGCTACTCCACTGGAAATAATAATAAACAAATACAATTTACATTAATAATGAAAACGTCAAATAAGAAAATGTATTAATATAAGAAACCTCTCTGAATGCTACATGATAAGAACATTCTTTATGAAAGAATGGCTTGAAAATAATTGGATGTTGATGTGGTAATGAAAATGCTTCTTTCACAATGAAGTGAAAGCTAAATAAATTAACCTAGAAAATGATAAAAGCTCTATCTATTAACATATGGTTGATAACATAAATTAGAACATATTAATTAAATGAGGTTGGATTGGAAATTTTTGGATAATAATTCGGATATTATGAAAGGTGATTAATTAAATAAAATCAATCATTTTTTTTATTATATAAGTGTATAATTTAATAATTAATAAGAATAATTACATCCGACACTATCATCGATAATAATAATTATTTCAATTATATTATAATTTTTTTATTTATATTATGAAGCATTTCGTTTATGTTCTCAACTTTAAATACGATATCTTTCTTAATTCTTTTTTTTATTATTATTTATTTCCGACTTAACTTAATCAAGCACAAAACCTCATTATTATTTGTTCTAGTATAAAAAAGAAGCACTGAGAGAGCTTAAAATAAAGACAAAATTACCTACAAAGGCATCGATTCCTAAAACAATATTTTTATATTATTTTCTTTTAATTAAACGCAAGGTTCAACGTAATTCCCCGGAAATAATCCGGTTATTCCATCCATAACTCCCTCCCACCAACCATCATCGTTCTTTTTTAATACATAAATAACCGCACTCTCCTGAAAACTTAATTCGTCGTCTTTATCTGCATAATAATCATAAATAGCAACCACTAAAACGAAGAAAATAGTTTTAATTTAAAATTATTACATCTTAATAATTTTTTAACCTTTTTCTATGTAATTCTTTGGTACCCATCCGGGTAAATCCTCTTCATCAGGAACAATGGGCATTACACCGGATGTTCTGGGACGCCCAAAATCTTCGTGTTCTTCTTCGGGGGGTGGTGGAGGCGGTAAAGGTGGTGATTGTGATCCTCCGCCTCTTGTTAATCGTTGATGATGTGATAAAGTATGCATTCCTAAACTTCCATGTGGAACAGGATTGTGTTGACCCAACATTGCATGGTGATGGGGGTTATTTGTTATTAACATTTCTTGATTTACCAATGGGGAAGGAGGAGCTAAATAAAAATTTATTATTTTTTTAATAGTATATTATTATACTTTGTTCTTGACTACTTTTGAAATTGATTCTAAATTTATTTTTTTAAATAACTTTTGGAATAAAGTTTAAACGTCAATGTGACACAAATTCAATGTTACCAACTACACAATTTGTTAAAATTAACTATCAATTTTATGAAAAGTCATGAAAATTAATTAATTTATGTTTAAATCATAGAAAAAAAGGATTTTTTTACGTTTTTTTAATATCAAAGCTTTGTCCATGACTACTTTTGAAATTGATTCTAAATTTATTTTTTTAAATAACTTTTTGAATAAACTTTAAACGTCAATGTGACACAAATTCAATGTTACCAACTTCACAATTTGTTAAAATTAACTGTCAATTTTATGAAAAGTCATGAAAATTAATTAATTTATGCTTAAATCATAGAAAAAAAGGATTTTTTTAGGTTTTTTTAATATCAAACCTTTGTGCATGACTACTTTTGAAATTGATTCTAAATTAATTTTTTTAAATAACTTTTTGAATAAAGTTTGATGTGACACAAATTCAATGTTACCAACTTCACAATTTGTTAAAATTAACTGTCAATTTTATGAAAAGTCGTGAAAATTAATTAATTTATGCTTAAATCATAGAAAAAAAGGATTTTTTTACGTTTTTTTAATATCAAACCTTTAGTACTAAAAAAAGAAATAGAAAAAAATAAATTCAATTAACGTTTTTTGAAATTTTGATGTTTCAAATAATTATATATAGATATTATAATGTAGTTGTGGACAAAAACAATTTATTACATTTCTTTTAACTTACGTGGCATACTCATATGTTGCTCTTGAATATAAACTGTATTTCCTGGTGGTGGAGGCGGAGGTGGAGTTTGAGGATGTTGCTGAACATGTTGAACTTGTTGTGTTTGTGATGGAATGCTCATAGGATGGACCATACCGACTTGAGGGGGCGACATGGCTTGGTTATGTTGGGCTAAAGGTAAGGTGCTATATCCAGGACCTCTTTCACCCCTTCGAGGATGTCCAATGGGGTAATTGGGGGCGTAATGACTTGGAACTTGAGGTGGGGCTACAGCTGGAGGAGTTCTATATTCTCTACTTGCTTTACTTAGAGTTCCACCGGAAACTGAAACTAATTTCGAAGTAATAAATTAAAATTATTTCATAATCAAGAAGAATTAATACCTTTACTGTTCGTTCGTGTAACTTGTGGTGGAGTTGGAGGTTTTGTGGTTGGTGCAGGACCTACAGTTGAATTTGTAGACATTGCACTAATCGATTGGATACTCCCTTGACTTGAACCTCGTTGTTTTTGACGTGGGGTCCCCGAACTTCTTACCCCATGACCAATTTCATCCAAAACTATCACATATTATTAATTAATCAATTAAAATTAATTAATTTTTTATTCTTACCTGCATAATCAATCGGTTTTCGAACATACTTAATGGGTTTTTCAGGATTAGCAGGAGCAATAATTTTGTATTGTCTCGAAGTAGATTTATTTGCTGTTAAAACCCCAATTTCTCTCCTAGCAACTTTTTCTTTGTGTATCATAACAGTTTGAGCGATATGATTCATTTGACTCTCCATTTCAGCCAGTTGACTTTGTTGTAAATCGAGGAGTTGTAAAAAATTAAAAGCTAACGTATTAATTTGATAAGCAACACTAGCTAAAGATTGTGTTGTATAATTCTTCGTTTCTTCCAAAGCAACACGTTTATTTTCCATTTGAAAGTAATTCGCTTCGCAATATTCAGCCACACGTTCCAAGTTTGTGTGGTTATCGGTTAAATTACTTCGCCCCTCAGGAATTTCATTCCTGAGGAGAGTTGCGAGTTCTGCCATGGTGTCACAGTCGCTTACCACTCCCGATTCACGACCAGAACCACCTTTAACAAAGAGGTGTAACCATTAAAACCTCATTAAAGAGAGAAATTAAATCCTTACCGTAATATATACTATCGTTCATAATAAAATTAATGTTTTAATGAAAAGATGGGGCATTTTCTTGAGATTTTGACGAAATCTTTTTAATTTTACTCTTGAGGAAATTATAAAAAAAATCCCGTACACAATAACGGTTGACGTAAGAAATGTCAAATGGTGGGTGTGAAACTAATACCAACCTAAAAATTTACTACACTAAATTACAAAATATTTATTTAATTTACGTTATAATTTGTGTTTAATTATTAATATTATGTTTATAATTAATTAATTTATTCTTTTGGTACTTTATTAAATAAGAAATAAAAAATAAATTAATTTTTTAACATCTTCGTATAGTTATATACAGGTGTTTAAAAATGTCTTAATAAAAGTAATAATTAATTAATTTATATTTATTACTAAAAACCATTTTTAACATAAATACATACAAAAATTAACACGTAAAATTAATATACAAAATATAAATAAACCCTATACGATATTAAGATGTGAGTTCAAAAAATTAAACTTTGAGGTACTTTAAAGCTTGTGAATCGTGAACGAAAGTACAAAAGATGACTATTTACAACGAAGATTATTTCGATTCATCATCATCAACCTTTCGTATCACTTCTATGCACTTGAAAATGATACCCCCTGGCGGGGACGGCAAAAAAATTACCACCACCGCCTCCAAAATGATTATAAGACAACACTTTCGAGACGATATTTAAATCTTCCTGCCTTCCCTTACTAATCCCGGCTTGTTGCAACAAATTTCTTAATTGATGATTCACCAAGGGCGGTTGAACCGGCCCATTTTGGAATGCTTCGTTTGATCTTAATAATCGCACATTTGGGACTTGAATTGATGGTTGAATTTGGACGTATTGTTGCTGTTGATGGTGGTTTGGGTTAAAGACGAAATTGTTTGGGAAAGTTCCCGTTTCTTGTTCTTGGCGATAAATTCTAACGTTTTGAGTTGGTGGAATTTCCACTGTCGTTGGTGTATTGTAATGAGGTGGTGTTAAAACTGGTTGAATTTGTTGAATTGGTTGTATTTGTTGTTGAACTGGTTGAATTTGTTGAATTGGTTGTATTTGTTGTTGAATTGGTTGTATTTGTTGTTGAATTGGTTGAATTTGTTGTTGAATTGGTTGTATTTGTTGTTGAATTGGTTGAATTTGTTGTTGAATGGGTTGAATTGATTGAATATTTTGTATTTGATTTTGATGAAATTGATTTGGTTGAACTTGATGTTGATTATAATATGGAGTTTGTCTAAAATCATTATAATTTTTAACCGGTAATTGTTGAGCATTTAACGGTAAAGAAGTTCCTTTAGAAAATTCGGCCGGATTAAAAGAAACGCTCGATTGAAAAACAACCGTTGACGGTTTAGTTGGATTTGAAGTGGTAAATTCAACATTTTCAATGCGATTATTAGGAATAATAGGGATAAAGGGTTGTTCGTTTTGTTTTAAACGATTTCTCTCGCGTTCTTCCCTCAAAACTCTTTCTTGTTCCCTAATTAACTCTTGTTGTTTCAATAAAACTTCTTGTTGTTGTCGTTGTTGATGTTGCAGCTTGTATAACTGTTCTTCCAAAGCCCTTTGTTTCTCTTGAATCACAAATTGATTCCTAAATTGTTCTTGTTTTAATTGCTGTTGTTTCAAAAAATCTTCTCTCCTTCTTTTTTCCTGTAACTCTAATTCTTCTTGTTTCTGTTGATAAAATCTTTGGTCATCAATGAAATTTGTAACCACCGGAACCGTATTTGTTGATGCCTTAAAAATTGGCTCTACACTTTTTGGTAAACCATGTTCATCTTGATGAACTGTAAAAGCAGCAACTAAAGGCGCTGAAAAGAATTGTACATCTTCAACTTTAGCTTCGCTTTCCTCAGTGGTGGGTGTTTCAACCGTTGGAGTTGGCGAGGTTAAATCTAATTTATTCGAAGTGATTGTTGTTAATTTATCGTCAATAGTAAATGAATTAATTGGTTTAGGAGTCGTTTGATGTTTATTTTTGAAATAATTCGTTGTAAAACTTGTCGATGATGTTAAAAAATTCTCGGTAACATTTAAATTTGAAGGAAAAAAGGTTGTGATTGGTTTGCTTTGAATCCCGGCACTTTTCTGTATCAAAACAACTTGTCTTTGAGTTTCCGGCGATTTCGTTGATGTCACCGTAAAATTTTTATCCACATTTTCCTGAATAATATTAACCTGACTTGCTTGAGCCTTCTCAACGGTACTTTCCGGGTTTCCTGCGCCATCGCTTTCCGCTTCTAGCTCCGTCAACGCTTTTAAAAGAGCTTTTCGAAGATTTGAATCTAAATTCGTTGTCGACGAGCTGAGCTTATTTGTTTCTTCATCGTTCGCCGATGATGATGAAATCAATAAAAATGCGAAAAGAATCTGTAAAAGAAAAGAAAAGTGATTTAAAATGTTATTTGATGTCAAATGCAAGTGTAACACAAGAAGTAAAAACAACAGGTAAATGCTTTTAGTGCTAAACCAAAGTGAAATTTTTTCGATTTAAATGTTTATCAAGAAATCTTCGTTACTTTGTTAAGGAAAGCGTACAAATTTTATTACAAATTATATCGCGTAAACCGTGATGTAATTAAAAATTAATTGATATGGGCTTTTAAAGATATAAATGACTTAACTTAATTAAAAAAATCGTATCAACGTGATTTATAGGAACGAAACGATTATTTTTGGTGTGTTAAAACTAGATTAAATTTGCTTTAAGACAGTTTTTAAATCATCTTGATATTTCAATTCGTTCTTAAAATACACGATTTTAAAGTTATATTTTAATCCACTCAACCTCAATAATTAGAGTTGAATTAAAAAAATCGTATCATTGAGGTTTAAAAAAACGAAATAATTATTTTTGGTGTGCTAAAACTAGATTAAATTTGCTATAAGATCGTTTTTAAATCATATTGATATCTTAATTACTTTTTAAGATATGATTTTTTGAAATTTGCTATTTATTAACTCAATTATTCAACAAGTTCAATATTGTTTAGAAAATCATTTCATCGGAATTTATAGAAATGATTTTTAACTTAATAAATATTAATTAAATTTGCTTTAAAATGGTTTTTGTTTCATGGTGATATCTCAATTCGTTCTTGAGATACGATTTTTTAAGTAATATTTGTATCGACTCAACCTCAATAATTAGAGTTGAATTAAAAAAATCGTATCATTGAGGTTTAAAAAAACGAAATAATTATTTTTGGTGTGCTAAAACTAGATTAAATTTGCTATAAGATCGTTTTTAAATCATGTTGATATCTTAATTACTTTTTAAGATATGATTTTTTTAAATAGACTTTTTTTACACCATCTAAATTTCCCAAATTAAAATAACACAATACTTTCTCTCTGCGAAGATGCGTTTTTCTTCTCAGATCGTTTTCTTATTCATCTTGAAACTTCTTCTGTTGGGAACTAGAAAATTCTCTGGTTAAATGACAAAAAAATTGTGTTCTTTATTTCCTTTTTGATTTAGAATGACTTATTTTAATTTTATTAATCTCTCTCAAATTACTTTTCTAGTTTTTTTTAAATTAACTTTATTGTAAAAAAGTATGTCATCAGTTAAACGGTAATTACTATAGTATGTGGACTCAAGAGCATCTCCGGTGCCTTATTAGATGATTTCACTTTCACCCAGACCCTGGACTTTATGAGACTATGAGAAGAGATCTTCAAGAGAACCCAAACAGGAATTTCTACGACCTCTGGTAATAAAATTTTAATCTTTTTTAAACGTTTACTTTATTACCATCACATATATGAATATATTTTGTTAAACATTAAGATTAAGCTTTTAAAAAATTAATAAAAAATAAAGGATTGTTTATGTAACCAAAAAGCAATTATTTCATTTATTTCTTTTTTCCTCTTACATAATTACTTTTTTTTAAGAAGAATGAAATTGTTTAAGAAATAATTAACGTTCCTTACTAATTTGGGTTGTGTCTTAAAAAAACAACAATAAGATCTGACCTTAAACGCACACTTTAGAAGTGAAACCGTTAGAAATGACCCAGTGAACTATGTGTTTCTTAAGACATGGTGATAAATACCACCTCCGTGAAGACCTATTATCTATAGACGATTATAATCAGTAATCAACAAAGCATTGACGGGTTTAATTATCTTGGGTTTCTTTGAATCAAATGTGTGACGACGTTTTTGGAAAGATTTTCTCTTTTGGCATTAGAAGTTTTATTGGATGGTTTCACTTTGACTTTCTCATCAATATCAAATCAATTTTTTTTAAATTAAGTCAATTAATTCTAAATTTAATACATACCAAAAGCATTTTTTCCTTAGAATAAATAACGAAAGAATAAACTAAACTTTGTAACTAATTCAAACTTAGATGCTTCACTAAAAACCAAACACTTAAAATTAGTTGTTTTCTTCGCGGTGTCCGATGGACTGTGAGGATCTTAACTCGTCGAAGAAGACCTAAAAACTATTAAACGGTTCGCGTGTAGTCGCGGTCGGTTAGTTCTTTGGCGATTTCGCGGAGGGGTTTAAACCCAACCCAACAATTCAAGAAATCCGAAGACATCGTGACACCAAACTCTCTTCTTCGTCTAAATCGTACCTAAATCTCGATGTCCTGTTGAAACCAACCACTAAAAACGTATGAATTAATCTAAAAAGTAAAATATTAATTTAAAAATACGAAAGGAAACGAAAGTGTAATAATTGATACGAATCATCATCACGCAAAGTTATTAAACGATTCAAAACTTTTATTTTTTTAATTTAAATAAAAGTGAATTTTATTTTCTTTCTAATTTAATTCGGTTTTAAACGGATGGATTCCTCTTTCATCATCAATATCGTTTTGTAGGCAAACACAGGTGCGTAATAGGGACAAATTTCTCTTCCTAAGGCTAAAGATGATAAAATAACACCAAGAAAACTGAAATGCTTAGAGAAATCTTTATTATCATTTTAAAGAAAACAACACCTCTTTTTAATTCGACACTTTCTTCGATTTTATAACATTTCGCTTTTTTTTATAGGATGAAAACGTTTAATTTATGTATATTAGGTGATCAAAAAGCTATTTGAAATCTTAACCAATACAAATTTATAGTTTGACATTTGACACATAATATAACCTTAAAAAAAAGTTTTGATTTGACATTTAATGACAAACATGATAAAATAAAATAACACCAAAAAAACTGAAATTCTTAGAGAAATCGTTATTATCATTTTAAAGAAAACAACACCTCTTTTTAATTCGACTCTTTCTTCGATTTATAACATTTCATTTTTTTTATAAGACGAAAACATTTAATTTATGTTATTTGAAATCTTAACAAATTTATAGTTTGACATTTGACGCATAACATAACCTTAAAAAGAAGTTTTGACGTTTAATGTCAAATTCCTTTTACTGAATATTTCCAGGTTTATACTTCATATTTATTTATTTATTGTGTTCATTCATTGTTTATTTTTGGAATTATTGCATTTTATATTTGTAAATGTCGTAACACNAATATAACCTTAAAAAAAAGTTTTGATTTGACATTTAATGACAAACATGATAAAATAAAATAACACCAAAAAAACTGAAATTCTTAGAGAAATCGTTGTTATCATTTTAAAGAAAACAACACCTCTTTTTAATTCAACTCTTTCTTCGATTTATAACATTTCAGTTTTTTTATAAGATGAAAGATTTAATTTATTTGAAATCTTAACCAACAAATTTATAATTTGACATTTGACACATAACATAACCTTAAAAAAAAGTTTTGACGTTTAATGTCAAATTCCTTTTACTGAATATTTCCAGGTTTATACTTCATATTTATTTATTTATTGTTTGTTATTTTTGAAATTATTGCATTTTATATTTGTAAATGTCGTAACACACACGAAAGAAATAAAGTCGGCGAGACAGAAAGTTTTAAGAACAGGGAGCCGAAGAAAGAATGTAATACAACAAGAATCAGTGGAAACTCTGTAGCTGGAGCATGATATGAACGACAACAATTATTATACATCATTTTAAAGAGAATACTTTCAGCTTTAATTTAAAGTAAGTTTCATTCCATAATTTCAATAAATATGGCTTCCAGGAATTTTTAAATTAGCATCTTTTTTGACACTTTTAGGTTATACGAAAATGTAAGTTTTATTTAAAATTTTTTTTCTCAATATTTTTCCTATCCAACCCAACAATTATTATACATCATTTTAAAGAGAAAGCTTTGAGCTTTAATTTAGAATAAGTTTTATTCCTTAATTTCAATAAATACGGCTTCCAGGAATTTTTAAATTAGCATCTTTTTTGACATTTTTAGGTTATACTAAAATGTAAGTTTTGTTTCAAATTTTTTTTTTCTCAATATTTTTCCTATCCAACCCAACAATTATTATACATCATTTTAAAGAAAAAGCTTTGAGCTTTAATTTAGAATAAGTTTTATTCCTTAATTTCAATAAATACGGCTTGCAGGAATTTTTAAGTTAGCATCTTTTTTGACATTTTTAGGTTATACTAAAATGTATATACTTCCAATATTTTTGACAGATTTAATTAATATTTAATAATTAACTAATTAAACGACCTTTAAAGGTTTTAAATGTCACAGGTTTAATTAGTGCCTAAATATAACTCGGAATTATTACTAAATATTGTAATTAAATGATGATTACTTTCACATTTTTTTATTTATTAATTTTAATACATAACTTGCGGTTTTCGTAATTAATTTCCTTTTTACGAAGGTTCAAACCGCGGAAACCAACTGAGGAAAGAGCAGTTTCTCTAAATGACCTTTCTTCTTCACCGATTTCGGCGCGCCGTGACCCGGTTTCCCCCAAAACTGATTCCACGTGGTAAAATGCATCTTCGAATAGCACAAATCGTCTTCTTTAATTTTCTAGATTTAAATTAGAAGAAAAATTAAAAATATAGGATTAAATTAATTAATTATACTTTGATATCGTCTAATTTCTTCGACATTTGTTTAGTGAGTTCGTTCAAGTAATTTTTGTTTTGTTCTTGGAGTTTTATGTAATAAGTTCTGGAATGAAATTAGTTTTATGAGTCAGATTAAAAATATAAAAATAAAACGTACAAACATCGCTTTTCTTTCGTTATATCTGTGCTAATTAACGGAATTAACGGTGGATATCGTTTCTTGGCGATTAAATTTACTAAATCGTCTCCAGAACCTTTACAAGAACGCAAAGGGCTGAGCCTGTATGGTTTTATATCGACGATTTTTTTATTAACTTCGTATTTTTTTGAATAAAGCGGTTTGGAAGGAAATTTAAACTGTTCTTTGGGTTTTAACTTTTTATAATCGTTGTCTAATTGGTTTAAAGTTTGTTCATCAGACCAACCCTAAAAGTGATTAATAATTAATAATTTTTTTGATTTAATTTTATTATTTAACCATTGATTGAAGAAAATTTAACCCGATATCTTTAGGTTGCCTCCAAAGGATTCCTCCGGGTCCCGGTTTGCCCCAAGGTGGGGTTTTCGCCATCTAAAAATTATTATTTACCACAAGATATAATTAAATGATATCAAAATTTTTATACAAGATCGACGTTTTGTTTCAAATCGTCCCTTTTTTCTTTTTCTTTTAATTTTTTGCGCTCGTACACGATTTTATCTACAAAAGAAAATAAATACAGTTAAAGAAAGTGAAATTTTACTTCTTTTTTTTGAATTATTTATTTATAGGTGTGCTCAGCGAGAAGTTTAAAGAAAACTTTCACCGACAAGTTTCAAAAGAATTAATGTCTTTTGTTAAAGGACACAATTTCAATTTTATGTTTTTAATTTAGTATTTTCTGTTTTAATTATTTAGTTGTACCCAAATGTTTTTTGTACTCCTCTTGCTCCAGCCGATTCTTTTTGTAACGAATGTTATTTTCAACGGCATTTCTTAAATCTTTGTTCCATTGAAACCTTAACAACGGATCTTCTAAAGTTCGTATTCGATGTGGAGCCCCCCCACCGGGTTTCCCCAAATTTAAACTCCCAGTTAATCTTTTACACTTAAAAAAAAATTTTTTATAATCATAAATACATAAATAAATGAAAATTCATCACCTTTTGTAGCTCATCATCCGGGAAAATCTCTTCCATTCTTAAATTCCCTAACCCGCGGGGATGAACAGGTTTATTCCACGGCCAAAACTTTTCCAACATCTCCCTATTTAATTGTTGCTCTTGCTTCTTATTCACATTTCTGATTAATAATTGATTATTTTCTTGATTTTGCTTCGAGTTATCCCTAAAAGTGACCATAACTTTAAACAAGTTTTATTAAGAGGGGTGTATCGTAACGCTTTGTATCGGAATGGGGCTAAAACGAGTCGTAATCGAACCGGAACAATGGGGGCGTTTTGGTGACAGGCACGAAAATCGCGAATAAATCGGAAATACGCGTGAATGTCACCGAAAAGAATCAATAAGTTATTAAAAAGTATCCCCAAAAACCGCAACTAAATAATAATTAATTAATATAAAATAAACCCCGCAACTTTGTTATCAAAATTCTAAAAACCAACTAGATGAGTGATCAGTAATTCCCACATGAATTCAGTATCTGTCTGAAAACGTTAAAATCCCAACATCCTGTTTACGTGATAAAGACCGATCTCTAAAAAGAGTATAAAGTGGTTAACCAGTAATCACAAAGAGGTCAAAATGAGTGCATTGCATTTAGTAGTTTTAATTAGTGTATTGATCGAAGTTGATTTAATGTAAGTTTAAATCATAATCGCTTTTACTTAATAACAAAAAAATGTTTCAACAGTAATCCAAAATTAAACTTTTGTCCTCGACAATGCGTTAATGGAGTTTGCTTCGGACGAAATATTTGCGTTTGTAAAAAGGGGTTTATTAAAGATCCCAATAACCGATTTATATGTAAACCGCAATGCTCGAAAAATTGCATAAATGCTATCTGTTCAGCTCCTGAAGTTTGTACCTGTAATACGGGATATATATTAGAACCGAAAAATAAGTACCAATGTAATCCGAAATGTACAAAACCGTGTATAAATGGAAAATGCACATCGCCCGATAAATGTTCTTGTAATAATGGATTTATTATCGACTCCAAAAATAAATATCAATGTAACCCAAAATGTTCGAAACCGTGTCTAAATGGGAGATGTACAGCGCCCGAAACGTGCTCCTGCAACAACGGGTTTTTAAAAGATGCCAAAGATAAATATAAATGTAATCCTAAATGTTCGAAACCTTGCATTAATGGAATCTGTTCTTCACCTGAAGTTTGTACGTGCAATAATGGATTTATACTTGATCCAAAAAATAAGTACCACTGTAATCCGAAATGTTCAAAACCGTGTCAAAATGGAAGATGTACCGCGCCAGAAACGTGTTCCTGCAACAACGGGTTTTTAAAAGATGTCAAAGATAAATATAAATGTAATCCTAAATGTTCAAAATCTTGTATTAACGGAATCTGTTCCGCTCCCGAAATTTGTACCTGCAATAACGGATTTATACTTGATCCAAAAAATAAATATCAATGTAATCCGAAATGTTCAAAACCGTGCCTAAATGGGAGATGTACAGCGCCCGAAACGTGTTTCTGCAATAACGGGTTTTTGACTGATGCCAAAGATAAATATAAATGTAATCCTAAATGTTCAAAACCTTGTATTAACGGAGTCTGTTCTTCACCTGAAGTTTGTACCTGCAACAATGGATTTATACTTGATCCAAAAAATAAGTACCAGTGTAATCCGAAATGTTCAAAACCGTGTCAAAATGGGAGATGTACAGCGCCCGAAACGTGTTCTTGCAATAACGGGTTTTTGACTGATGCCAAAGATAAATATAAATGTAATCCGAAATGTTCGAAACCTTGCATTAATGGAATCTGTTCTTCACCTGAAGTTTGTACCTGCAATAACGGATTTATACTTGATCCAAAAAATAAATATCAATGTAATCCAAAGTGTTCAAAACCATGTCTAAATGGAAGATGTACAGCGCCTGAAACGTGTTCCTGTAATAATGGGTTTTTGACTGATGTCAAAGATAAATATAGATGTAATCCTAAATGTTCAAAACCTTGTATTAATGGAATCTGTTCTTCACCTGAAGTTTGTACCTGCAACAATGGATTTATACTTGATCCAAAATATAAGTACCAGTGTAATCCGAAATGCTCAAAACCGTGTCAAAATGGAAGATGTACAGCGCCCGAAACGTGTTCCTGTAATAATGGGTTTTTGACTGATGCCATAGATAAATATAAATGTAATCCTAAATGTTCAAAACCTTGTATTAATGGAATCTGTTCTTCACCTGAAGTTTGCACCTGCAACAATGGATTTATAGTTGATTCAAAAAAAAAATATCAATGTAATCCGAAATGTTTAAAACCGTGTCAAAATGGAAGATGTACATCGCCTGAAACGTGTTCCTGCAATAACGGCTTCTTGACAGATGCCAAAGATAAATATAAATGTAATCCTAAATGTTCAAAACCTTGCATTAATGGAATCTGTTCTTCACCTGAAGTTTGTACCTGCAACAATGGATTTATACTTGATCCAAAAAATAAGTACCAATGTAATCCGAAATGTTCGAAACCTTGCATTAACGGAGTCTGTTCTTCACCTGAAGTTTGTACCTGCAACAACGGTTTTATACTTGATCTAAAAGATAAATATCAATGTAATCCGTATTGCTCAAAACTTTGCATTAACGGAGTTTGTTCTTCACCTGAAGTTTGTACTTGCAACAATGGATTTATGCTAGATCCAAAAAATAAGTACCAATGTAATCCGAAATGTTCGAAACCGTGTCAAAATGGAAGATGTACAGCGCCGGAAACGTGTTCCTGTAACAATGGGTTTTTGACTGATGCCATAGATAAATATAAATGTAATCCTAAATGTTCAAAGCCTTGTATTAACGGAATCTGTTCTTCACCTGAAGTTTGTACCTGCAATAACGGATTTATACTTGATCCAAAAAATAAGTACCAGTGTAATCCGAAATGTTCAAAACCGTGTCAAGATGGAAGATGTACAGCGCCCGAAACGTGTTTCTGTAATAATGGGTTTTTGACTGATGTCAAAGATAAATATAAATGTAATCCTAAATGTTCAAAACCTTGTATTAACGGAATCTGCTCCACTCCCGAAGTTTGCACCTGCAACAACGGCTTTGTACTTGATCCAGCAAACAAGTATCAATGTAATCCAAAGTGTTCAAAACCGTGTCTAAATGGAAGATGTACAGCGCCTGAAACGTGTTCCTGCAACAATGGATTTTTGACAGACGTCAAAGATAAATATAAATGTAATCCGAAATGCTCAAAATCTTGTATTAACGGAATCTGTTCCGCTCCCGAAGTTTGCACCTGCAACAACGGCTTTGTACTTGATCCAGCAAACAAGTATCAATGTAATCCAAAGTGTTCAAACCCGTGTCTAAATGGAAGATGTACAGCGCCTGAAACGTGTTCCTGCAACAATGGATTTTTGACAGATGTCAAAGATAAATATACATGCAAACCGAAATGCTCTAAATCTTGCATGAACGGAATTTGTTCCGCCCCAGAAGTTTGTGCCTGCAACAATGGATTTGTACTTGATCCAAAAAACAAATATGAATGTAATCCGAAATGCTCAAAACTGTGCCTAAATGGAAGATGTACAGCACCCGAAACGTGTTCCTGCAATAACGGCTTCTTGACAGATGCCAAAGATAAATATAAATGTAATCCTAAATGTTCAAAACCTTGCATTAACGGAATCTGTTCTTCACCTGAAGTTTGTACCTGCAATAACGGATTTATACTTGATCCAAAAAATAAGTACCAGTGTAATCCGAAATGTTCAAAACCGTGTCAAGATGGAAGATGTACAGCGCCCGAAACGTGTTTCTGTAATAATGGGTTTTTGACTGATGTCAAAGATAAATATAAATGTAATCCTAAATGTTCAAAACCTTGTATTAACGGAATCTGCTCCACTCCCGAAGTTTGCACCTGCAACAACGGCTTTGTACTTGATCCAGCAAACAAGTATCAATGTAATCCAAAGTGTTCAAAACCGTGTCTAAATGGAAGATGTACAGCGCCTGAAGCGTGTTCCTGCAACAATGGATTTTTGACAGATGTCAAAGATAAATATAAATGCAATCCGAAATGCTCTAAATCTTGCATGAACGGAATCTGTTCCGCTCCCGAAGTGTGTACTTGTAACAATGGATTTGTACTTGATCCAACAAATAAGTATCAATGTAATCCGAAGTGTTTAAAACTGTGTCTAAATGGAAAATGTACAGCACCCGAAACGTGTTCCTGCAATAACGGCTTCTTGACAGATGCCAACGATAAATATAAATGTAATCCTAAATGTTCGAAACCTTGCATTAACGGAATCTGTTCTTCACCTGAAGTTTGTACCTGCAACAATGGATTTGTAGTTGATCCAACAAATAAGTATCAATGTAATCCGAAATGTTTAAAACCGTGTCAAAATGGAAGATGTACAGCGCCCGAAACGTGTTCCTGCAACAATGGATTTTTGACAGATGTCAAAGATAAATATAAATGTAATCCGAAATGCTCAAAATCTTGTATTAACGGAATCTGTTCTGCCCCCGAAGTTTGTACCTGCAACAATGGATTTATACTTGATCCAACAAACAAGTATCAATGTAATCCAAAGTGTTCAATACCGTGTTCAAACGGATTTTGTTCTTCTCCAGAGGTGTGTACATGTCACAACGGATTTACATTAGATACAACAAATAAACACCAATGCAATCCAAAATGCACCATCCCCTGTCTTAATGGAACTTGTTCATCGCCAGAAACGTGCACATGCAACTCCGGTTACACTTTAAATCCAACTAATAAATATTTATGCACCCCTAAATGTTCAAAATCATGCACTAACGGATTTTGCTCGGCACCCGATCAATGCACCTGCTTTAATGGTTACACTTTAGACCATGTTAATAAACATTTATGTTCACCGAAATGTTCATATTGCAAGAATAGTTTTTGTTCTAGTCCGGGTGTTTGTACTTGTTTCCCCGGATTTGTACATGATTCAAAAAACAAATCGATTTGTAACCCAATTTGTTCGGAACCATGTCATCATGGTATTTGTACAAGTCCGAATGTTTGCACTTGCGATGTTGGATATCATAGAATTGAGAACAAAACAGGAAGTTCTTGCGTTCCAGTGTGTCGAAATCCGTGTATTGGGGGAGATTGTATCGAACCGGATGTTTGTTCATGTCCTGATTTTTACGAGTTTGATAACAAAACGTATACTTGTTATGAAATCGATGAGGGTGTCGAAAAAGGTGGATATTATGGAATAGAAAACAAGTATTGGGTGGTTATTTTTGGTGCAAGTGGTTTAATTATTTTATCAAGTCTAATTGGATTTTTAGTTTGGTTGAGACGAAGAAAAATTTGGATAAGGAACTCAGCAGAAAAAACTGGTACATTTTTGGGTAAAATAAAAATTAACTTTTTAAACATTTCTTTTTACTATTTTAGACGACATTCTTCTTTCATCGCCCGTTATGATTATTAATGGACTTCCTGCAAAAATATAACAAAAAAATTAATCAGCATTAAAAAAATTTACCTCCTAATCGTTTTTGAAAATGTTAAAAATTCATTTCGACGATAAATCCATATCCGTTTGTCGAAATTCAAAAAAATCCTTCGATAATTCGCTAAAAATTCCAGGAAATAATCTATTTATAAAAAAAACATTCTTTTCTATATTTGTAAAGAGGTGTGAATCATTACAAGATTTAAAATCAGTATAAAAGCCTCATTAAAACCCATAAAACACTCATTCAATCAAAAACTTCACTCCTCAAACGAACTAAATCAATTAAGATGATTATAAAATCAAGCTTTTTTATGGTTTTTCTAATTTATATTAGTTTGGGGGAATCAAAATCGTGTGATCCATCGTGAGTATTTCAATTAATTATTTATTTTTTTATTAATTTAATCCATTCTTTAGCGTACCAGATAGATTCTGTCAATCCGAGTGCCCCAAAGGTCATTTTTTCAATGAAACCACCAACGAATGTAAACCCCTCTGCTCAAAAGACTGCATAAACGGAAGATGCACGTCCCACGAAGTTTGCACTTGCAACTACGGATTCTTACAAGACTCTAATAACCCGTTCTTATGCAACGCTTTCTGCTCGAATCCTTGCGAAAACGGAAAATGCGTAGGATACGAAAAATGCACTTGCGATATAGGTTATTACAAAGACACAAGGAATCGTTACAAATGCCTCTCATTATGCACTAAACCGTGCAAAAATGGCACTTGTACCGGAAGAAATAAATGTACTTGCGACGTCGGTTTCCGTGCTGATAAAAAAGATGACTTTAATTGCATTCCTGATTGCGAAGGTTGCAGAAACGGTTTTTGTTATGAACCCAACGCTTGTCGTTGCGATGTTGGGTACGCTTTAAATGAAACAAGCGGAGATTGTAATCCAACTTGTCGACAACCGTGCAAAAATGGGAGATGTATCGACGTGGACGTTTGTATTTGCAATCCTGGTTATGAAAGCGAAAATGGAATATGTAAACCTGTTTGTTTTCCACCTTGCGTAAACGGTACTTGTACTGGACCAAACGTTTGTGAATGTCCGAGAGGGTTAAGATATAGCAGGGTGACTTATTCTTGTGATAAACCATGTGTTCCACCGTGTGAGAATGGTTATTGTACCTATGGGGTATGTAATTGTCATGATGGTTTCATGGGGAACGCTTGCGATCGAAAACCTGGGGGATTAAAAAAGTTTTATAACAAATGGTATGTGTTAACAACTTTTTACATTTAAACAATTTGTCATCTTACCTCTTTTTTTACGTAACAAACACTCAAATAAAAGTGAAAGTTACCATTCGATCTTCCATCATAAACTTTGATGACTGCAATACCATTTATTTCTTTCATTTCTTCCACTATGTTATTTGTAATTAAATTATTTTCTGTTTCAGGGTATCTCCATTATTTAAACGATTCAACTAATCCAATTAAATTATTATCAAGAATTAATCAATTCTTCTATTTATTTTATTGTTAAATTATATTTTAAATAAATTCTTGAGCATTCAAAGTTGTGGTTTTGATCCAAATCTTTAAGCCGATAAAAAAGAAAACTTTTAAAATTTATCTATATTTTTTACCATTTATGTTATTTTTAAGAATTAATTAATTCTAATTATTTTATTGTTGTTATAGTTGTGTTTTTAATCTTGTTTATATGTAGTTACCATAAAAAATAACTCTCTAAACAAAAACTTCGTACTAAAAGTGGAACGTATGTGGCGCCATCTGTTGGGGATATTTTGGAATTATTCAGCTAAGAACTGAACCACTAGAATATAGGTTGGATTGGGTTTATATATAAAAGCTCCAACCACAGAATAACTGTTTGGAGCCACATAGTGGCTCCACTTAACATTCCGACTGGTTGGATATTCCTCAGATGCAATTACCTATGGCAATTACACTTGTCAAATAATGCCACCACATTTGAATATTACTATGACATGTGAGATTGCATCTGACGAGCTTCCAAAACCAGTTATAACGAACGTTAGCTGAAACAAAGCTATAACGTCAATTATAATCTAATTGTTTAATCATATCATTATTATCTTATTATACTCTTACCGAAAAATCACTTTAAAATGACGTTTTCATCTGTCATTCTGAACAAACTTCAACTTTTTAAAAGGTGAAGTTAGCGGCAAATTTAAAAATATAACACGATTTGGAATCTTCACTCTTTTTATACAAAGAATATAAGTTGGTTTAATTGACTAAAACCGAATCATCCTGAAGAAGAAACAATAAAAGTTTCGAAATATTGACGTTTTAAAAATTATGAAGTTAAAGAAAAAAATTTTCAAATCTATTAAATGAGGTCGCTCACATTTTGTTTTTACTCTTGTTATAAATATACTTTTTCTATATATTTTATTGTTGAATTTAATTTAAAATAAATTCTTCAACATTCAAATTTGTGTTTATGGGGATGAAATCTTTAAAGATAAAATAGAAAACTTCAAAACTTACTTAATCGAAAGATAGATGTCGCTCATTTCTCAACAATTAATTATCCAAAAACCATTAAAATAAACGTCAATCTGTTTCATTATTATTATTATTGCTTATTATTATCGAATTGAGCCCATTATTATCAATTGTAATTAATCGGATTTTTACGATATTTTCTAGAATTTCCCAACGGAGATAAGATAACGATTCAATCCGGGTTAAAAAAATTAAATTTGAGGTTAGTTTTGTAATAAAAACGTTTTTAAAAGGATGGGGAACGAACAATCGTTGAGTTCTTCAACAGAAATTAATCATAAAGCCATTGAAGTAACGGATTTTTACACACATCATTCGGCGAGCGTTAATTTTGGAAATGTTAATAATTTGTCTGTGTTTATCGGTGAAGAAGTTTTAGATGGATCTATATGGATTAAACAAACTCCTTTAGAGAAATCTAGCAAGGTAATAATCGCAACTTAATTCCCTTTTAATTAATTAACGAATTAAATTTCTTTTGTAGAATTTAATGGTTTATAGGCATCCGTGTATTTTAAAATATTTTTCATCTTGGGAAAAAGGATCGAAATTTCATTTAGCAGTTGAAGATGTAAAACCACTTTCGCTGGTTTTATCGACGTTGAATAATTTACAAATTTGTATTGGTTTATATTCGATATTAAAAGCGTTATATTTTTTGCATAACATTGCTGAAGTCTCACATAACAACGTTTGTTTGGCTTCCATTTATATTGCTAAAGATGGTAACTGGAAATTAGGTGGAATGGAATATTTATGTAAATTTAAAGAAATGACATTGGATTATATGGGTAAAACGAAAAAATATCGATACAATAAAGGCATAGATCCAAACGAAATGAAATATTTGGGAGAAAAGAAACTTGAAAGACGCGATTTTGTCGATTTATATAGCTTTAGTGTGTTAGTTTGGGATGTTTTAAAAAAAAATGATGAAATCCCGTTTTTGGGGGAGTTTTTGGAGTTGTGTCGGAATGATTTGCAAAATTCCAATATTAATTTGCGACCTAAATTTGATACTTTGTTGGAGCATGACTTTTTTAATCACGATTTTATCAAAATTCATTGCTTTTTAACTGAATTACCTTTAAAGTCCGATATAGAAAAGAACGAATTTTTTACAACTTTAATTGGGAAATTACGAAATTTTGATGAATTAATAATCGCAAGCCAATTAACTAATCTTTTATTATCAAGGATGGTTTTATTAAATAAAACAGCCCAAACGAACGTTATTCCATTTTTACTTTCCCCAAAAGAAGGTAAACAAATTATTTAATTAATTAATTCAAATAAATAATTTTTTTAATTTAAGAATTAGACACAGAAGATGAAAATCTTGGTTTATTCACAACAGACACTTTTAAAAAGTATGTCATTCCAAAACTCTTAGAAATATTTTGCGTCCGAGACGCCCAAATTCGTTTATTACTCTTAGAACATTTAAATCATTACATAAACTGTTTTCAAATACAAGAATTACAATCGAACATATTACCAGAGTTATTAGTAGGTGTTAAAGACACAAACGACCAATTAGTGGCGATTACATTAAGAGCTTTAGCTGATCTCGTCCCAATTCTTGGCGCAGAAACTGTTATTGGTGGAAAACGAGCTAAATTATTTAACGACGGTCGACCAATTCAACATTTAACAAGAAAACAACGTAAATCAATAAGAAAAAACGATCTAAATACTCCTTCAAATGTTTGTATTGAAAAAGATCTTTTAGAAAACAGAGATATTTTACAAGATTTACCAGAAAGGCCGTCACCGGACGGCGAAGAAGGTGAAACTTCGACGGAAGATTTAGAAGAGGAAGATAATTGGGAAGATTGGGATTTAAATGAAGCCCAAAGAGAAATCACAAAAGATAATTTAGAAACTTCAATAAACGCCGAAATGAGTTCTATGAGTTTGGGTGTTAATCGAAAGAACTCCAAAAAAGATTTACCCGATATTTTAGAATTAGACATTAAGAATCAGAAGAATAAAACCGATTTAGATGATATTGATTTTTTTCAAGATATGGAACCAGTTATTGAAGTCAATAAATTTAATGTCGAAGCGAAAGATGTCGATGTAAGGAAATTTGGGGTTGTTAATGAAGATAAAGAGGAAGGCTGGGGTGATGACGATTGGTAATCTTTTCTAATTGGAAATCATCTCGAATTGTAAATAATTTTTTCAAAAAATAAGTAATAAATTCATTTAATAACAATAAGCCTTTTTTTTCTTATTTCTCTATTAAAAAATTCCTAAATGTGAGACAGTTTTAGAATTACTTTAAGGAAAAAATTTGTTATAAAGCTAGGTTATGTCACAATTACAATTCCTTTATATTTTTACCGAAATATTCTTATTAATCGCTGTTAATTATAAAAAATGTATTGTATTACGATTAATTTGATGTAAAAATCATTATAATTACACCGAATTTTCTGTTTCTACAATACTTTAATATTAAAAGTGAGGTTATGTCGAAAAATAATATTTAAATTATTTACTTTTTTCATAACGAAATTAAACATGTTTATCTCTATTCAAACGGTTTTAGAATTACTTTAAGGAATAAACCAACCCTTAATCCCTTTAAGTACGGCAAATCACACCTTTCAAGTTATTTTTTGATTTGTTATAAAGCTAGGTTATGTGACAATTACTTTCTTTATATTTTCACCCAAATATTCTTATTAATCACTGTTAATTATAAAAAATGTATTGTATCAAGATTAATTTGATGTAAAAATCATTATAATTACACCGAATTTCCTCAGTTTCCACAATACTTTAATATTAAAAGTGAGGTTATGTCGAAAAATAACATTTAAATTATTTACTTTTTTTATAACGAAATTAAACATGTTTATCTCTATTCAAACGGTTTTAGAATTACTTTAAGGAATAAATCAACCCTTAATCCCTTTAAGTAGGGCAAGTCACACTTTTCAAGTTCTTTTTTGATTTGTTATAAAGTTAGGTTATGTGACAATTATTTTCTTTATAATATTTACCGAAATATTCTTATTAATCATTGTTAATTATAAAAAATGTATTGTATTAAGATTAATTTGATGTAAAAATAATTATAATTACACCGAATTTATTCAGTTTCCACAATACTTTAATATTAAAAGTGAGGTTATGTCGAAAAATAATATTTAAATTATTTACTTTTTTCATAACGAAATTAAACATGTTTATCTCTATTCAAACAGTTTTAGAATTACTTTAAGGAATAAATCAACCCTTAATCCCTCTAAGTACGGCAAGTCACACTTTTCAAGTTCTTTTTTGATTTGTTATAAAGCTCCTTAAGGTTATGTGACAATTACAATTTCTTTATATTTTCACCGAAATATTCTTATTAATCACGATTAATTATAAAAAATGTATTGTCTTAAGATCAATTTGATGTAAAAATCATCCCAATTACAATTAAATTCTGTGAGTTTTCCACAATACTTTATACTAAAAGTGAGGTTATGTCGAAAATATTTCAATTTTTCCATGACGTTATAATATATAGTTACGCCATCTAGTAGTAAGAGACAGAAAAACGATAACTGTCATTAGTTAAGGCACAGATTTCTGTTATTCTGTGGTTAAAGTTATGTTAACAATAGAGTTCAGATGTAGTTATAAGAAGTTTTATAAGTTATTTTTAATAAACGATTTTAAAAGTAAAGTTACTTAGATTTACGTCCATAAACTTATAACAGACAAACGTTACGTGGCGCTGTGAATTAGAGAACAATAGAAAATAAATTGCTACCTTTAAATAAAAGTATTAATAATAAATAATACCTGATAATCAATCGTTTTTCGCGTTTTAATGATTAATACCCGTTTTCTTGATTATTTTTGATGATAATGAACAAAAAAAATTATTTCTAATCAACTTGTCAAATTTGAAAATGCAGTGCTACCACATGTTTTTTTGTGAAAATCACTTATACCTATAACTTAACAATTTCGAAACTGATTTAAAAAAGAATGAATTATTGTATATCATAAACTTAGAGAAATCTATTTTATTTATTCTTTTCCATAAGTAACATTTTAATTAGATATTAGCCCTAGTGACTTTTTGTTTTGGTTAAACCAACCTAACGTCATTTTGACATATTATTTGACATATAACCATTTATAATTTCTTTTTATTTGATAAAATAGTGTCATTTACCTTTCACGGATCGCTTAATCTTTATTATTGAAACAGCTCGGCGGGGGAGAAGATAACCGTAAAAGTTAACGGGTAACCTTTAAAACGTTTCATACGTCCCATATCTGGGTCAATAGCACGTTCCGGGCATTAACTATTCAAACGCTGCCCATTGATTACTTTTCGATCGAAACGTTACGATTGCATACAAAATTTTCATCTTTGGACGCGGTCAGTTTCCTTCCATTATTCATCACTGCGTTCGCGTTTCGTGTATTGAGAGGGTTGGGTTGGGAGAACCCCGTTTTGGTATAATTACTGAACCCCCCAATTCCGTTTCCATCGCCTCGTTAATTCCACGAGAAACGGCCGTTTTAAATTTCCTTTTGCTTTTAATTGCCTTCAAATAGGAGTCAAGGAAAAAAAGTATTGCTGTTAATTTCTTTTATTTCTCTTGCAATTTATAATTAGCAACCGTAATTTTCTTAATGGTCATAACTTAGACTTTAAATGAAAAGAAATTGAAAGAAACTTTTATTCTATTTTTAATTTTAATTTTAAGGCTGGGTAAATCGATTATAAAGTGTCAAGGTTTCTTTTTTATTGCTAAATAAAGTATTATGAGAAAACGTGCATATTTTTGCCGATCGATTCTAATAACTTTGTTATTTGAGTGCATACTACGTTGAAGGAAAACTGAAACTTGACGTTCAACAAGTTTTAGAGAAACTCTGCGTATCTAAACCCCGATACATTAGCATTTAAACCGCCAAGGTTCGGTTTCGTAGAACGCAGGTTAATGGATTCGTCTGAAAAGCCGCGCAGCATCTTTACAACCCTCCAAGAAGTGGTTTTTGTTTACTAAACAAAAGTTTTAAAAGCTTAAAACAAACTTATTTTACGCCAACACCTCATTTATGCCCACATAAATAAGTTAATAAAAAAATAAAGTGTTAATTTTAAAATAAAAAGGAATATGTTGAGAGTGTTTTGAATTTAAAGCAGACCTAAATTCATTTCGCACGAAACCCTCGGCAACTAATGCCGTAAATTTCAATCTGGAAGCCAGAATATGCCATCAAAATTGCACCACCCCCGGCAAAATTGCAATGCCGCACTACGATTAGCACCGCACCTTTTCATTTTAAAGGGTGTGTTAACGCAAATCGTTCATTGATGATTAAATTGATTAAAAAAAATCCTTAATTAAAAATAAATATGTACTAAAATATATAACGAAATAATTGCAATTCATCAAACTTGTTTAATCAAAAAAATTTTAACAGTCCAAAGTAAACGAAAACTTTCCCGTCAAAACCAACGTTTTCATTAACCCCAGAACAATATCAAAAATGAATATTTCAAATGAGTTTTGTATAAACGGTTAACGGTATCAGACGGATCTCGTCGACGGCGAGGTTTTGAAACTTTAATAACACAATTATTGCAAACCGTCGACCATTTTCGGGAACCATTACCGGGAAACGAAACTTTCGCTATCCCTCCAGCGCATAATACCACTCTCGTCCCATAATCAAATCTTTTGTTATTCCAAATTTTGAACGACACAATTCCCCAAACGCCCCCCGCATCCATATTTCATATAGTATTATTGATTTTACGTGCAACAACTAATTAAAAATGCAATCCATACTTTTCATTATTAATGTCCTTTGTTAATATGGGTAATTTGTTTAATCGTGTACCGGAAACGTGTAGCACAATGAATGAAAACAAAACGAGAAATGCCTCCGTAATTGTACATCAAATGCAAAATGGGGTGAACGTTACGTTCGAGGGGGGAAGTTAAAAAGGGGGTCAGCGAGTGCCCTTTTGTTCGCGCCTTCACGGGCCTCGTTATTCACGCCCCCGGGAACTACAAAAGCTCAAAAAGCTCCCGGAGCCTCGGGTAAAGTGACACGGAGCTTTTAACGGTGAGCGCGATGCCACTGCAGCTTTCCTCTGCAATAAATGTTATCGCTTGATTAGATCTGCATCTCCACCACGTTTTTACACCCCACTTTTATTATTATTTTTTTTTCTCTTGCTCAGATACACTTTGACTTCCCCTCTATTACTTTTTACATAAAGCAATGAAATGTGTTTGAACGTTTTTATAAATTATTTAATAATTTTTTATACACAAATCCTTTAAATTTATTAAAAATTTGATACAAAGGTTAGTTTTGTATTGAAAAGTCACTCATCATGTTAAGAATGTTATGTAAGGTTAGTTTTGTTTATAACTAAATTTGCTTTGAAATGTTCGCTATTTCATGATGATATCTCAATTCGTTCTTGAGATACAATTTTTTGAATTTCTACTTTAAAATCTATAACAATCAAGTTAATAGAGTTGCATTTAAAAAATCATAACAACAATGTTTATGGAAAATAAGAATTAATTTATGGCACATTAAATCCTTATTAAGTTAGCTTTAAAATGTTCCTTATTTCATGATCATATCTCAATTCGTTCTTGAGATACGATTTTTTGAATTTCTACTTAAAAATCTATAACAATCAAATGAACAGAGTTGCATTTAAAAAATCATAACAATAATGTTTATGGAGAATAAGAATTAATTTATGGCACATTGAATCCATATTAAATTAGCTTTAAAATGTTCCTTATTTCGTGATGATATCTCAATTCGTTCTTGTGATACGATTTTTTTAAATTGCATTCATCATCTATGATAATTATACAGAGTTGGATTTAAAGAATCATAACAGCGGTGTTTATGGAAAATAAGAAATTATTTATGACACATTAAATCCTTATTAAATTAGCTTTAAAATGTTTCTTATTTCATGATAATATCTCAACTCGTTCTTGAGATACGATTTTTTGAATTTCTACTTAAAAATCTATAACAATCAAATGAACAGAGTTGCATTTAAAAAATCATAACAACAATGTTTATGGAAAATAAGAATTAATTTATGGCACATTAAATCTTCATTAAATTAGCTTTAAAATGTTCCTTATTTCGTGATGATATCTCAATTCGTTCTTGAGATACGATTTTTTAAAATGCATTCATCATCTATGATAA